ACTCAACGAAACCCCACCCCTGGCACCGCAGAAAGCACGGACCGATTGACATCTGTTACTACATGGGACACCTTGCGTTCGCGGCCGAGACAACAAAGTGATATTGACTAATTACATGGCCGTGACACACTCAGCACATCTACTTGGCCTTGTGAGGGTTGAATGACTTGATCACTCCGGTGACGGCCATGGCTTTAACCTATCCTTCTACCAAGTCCTTGACCAAAACTGCCTCGGGAAAACCGCGACGCTGTCGCTTGCGGCGTCACTTCCGTCACTTCAAAATGCCAATCAACGAATCATCCGTGTGGAAAGAATCCCCCATGTGCAGTGGCTCAAAGCACAAAAATCCGTCAAAGCAAAGGATCAAGGATCAAAATGGATCACGGGGATGAGCCTGCATCGTGGCCTGGGCCGTTCAAACCCCGGGCAAACGACTGCACATACTGATGCCGAGTTGGCCCAACTCCATGAATTGAGAAGGAGGCCAGAGCAGATTGGCTTGCCTTCTGCATAAGCTGCTGACGCTGCCTTAGCCACTGGTGACTGTGCATGTCATGATCAAAGCTTTCCGTCGTAGACTCTGTAGCTGTTGCTTCTTGGCCATGGACTCCTGCATCTCCTTGCGCATGCTTTGAATACCTGCCGAGCGAATCCGTGGCCACATGGCCACACTGCCACACCGGACACACTTCAAGCCGGATGCGCTGAGCCATCGAACTCTCTCTCCCTCTCTCTCTGGCGCCCTCGCTCTGAACTGTTTTGCTGCTCTGCTCGGTCGCCTGACCAACGGTCTTAAGTGCAAAAGATCAAAAAGGATGAACATACCCAGTGCAGGCTAAATCAACCCATTGACATCTGACATGGTTATATGAGTCAGTCTTCCAATTGGCAACCCAATGAGCCCATCTTCCGAAGACAACGCTATCGCTATCGCTCGACAACCGGCCTCCGCCGCCCGCAAATTGGAAAGCAGCATCTGAAGCTGGGATGCAGTGCTTCGCAGCTCAGCCACCTAAGATCAGCTCAACGGTCGCTTCGCCCGCCCCACGCGCCACAGGCAGACGGCGGTCGGTGCGCTCGACGACCTCTCGGGGGTCCGGCGGGTGTGTCTTTCAGTGCCATCACCAGGCTCGCCTGGCGGCACCGAGCTGAACACGTCAAGGAGCCTTTTACTACTAGCGTCCGATCGCTCCATTCGTAGTAAGGCCGGGAGCCCCTAGTAGTGTCCTTTCGGCTAAATAGTTCCAAGAATGTCCGCTTTTGAAAGCCAAGGCGCTGAGGGGCTTCTTGCAAGCGTGACCTGCCGCATGCGTCTGTAAAGCAATGATTATTGTGACGACCTTGAGAACTGACTGACAACCGATGTTCAAACTGTCCTGCTAGCATGAGCACAGCATTCACCCTGTCAGTCGTTTTTGGTCTTCCACACCTCCTTGGTCTCCGGTGGCAGCGAATCTGCAGGCAAAAAAAAGCATGCAACGCTTTGGCACATCGGCCTTCTCGCACATCGCTCACATCGTCCCTGCCTGCAGCGGCGTCATCCAAGACCTGCACACCAAGAGACACCAAGCCATCAAGCTCTGAGGAGTCACGTGGTTCCGTCGACGACTCATTGGACTTCTTGGATGCAAAACGCCGGCCAGTGCTCGCCGTGCCTTTGCAAGGGCAGCTTGGAGCTCGGAGAGTAGACCAGGCAGGTCTTCCTGGATAGCTTCAAGCCACAGTGCCTCCCTCTTCTGTCTGTGGTTTCATCCGTTTATAGTAGAAGCTGAACACAAACCCCAAATAACCCTAAGCACCTAGGGCCTAGGGGTAGAAGGCTCCAACCGAATCCGGCAAACATTTTTTTTGCCCATGCATCATGACACTCTTCCTCAGTCTGGCCACTCCTCAACTGCGAAAAGTCCAAGCTCCAACAACAAGTCCAGAAGGCCGGGCGACCATGGCAACACTTGCCGAACCTGAGTCAGCTGAGTGTTCTCTCTCTCTCTCTCTCTCTCTTTCTCTCTGCATGCGTGTGGCTTACTGCGTAAGAAGAAACCGCCTTAAGCGCCAAGTGCCCGAAAGGTCCTCCCTTTTGGGGAGTACTTGGGAGACCTGACAGCTGAGGCATTGACAGCCATCTCTTGTGTCAGTTGACTGAAGGCACCAGATGAAGCCACTCCTACCAGGTCTACAGCTCCATCACTGAGAGAAAAAAATGACGGAAACATGATCCTTCTTGGAATACCGGGTCGTGGCAGGGGTGATAGATTGTGAAAACAACTGTTTACAATATCAATGTCCTGGTCTCAAACCTCATTACAAAATCAAAAAACCAACCAACCAAAACTACAGAATCAATACACTCAATGTCGACAAACACATCAAAACTTACTACGAAATCTAGAGACCCAGGGCAGCCCCCCAACACATTTCTGAAAAGAAACAGGTTTACAAAATTGCATCCTTTACATGCAAAACAACATGCTTTGTACAGAATCATTATTTTCCAACTATAATCTACAAATGCGCACTGTCTACATTCAAACCATTTCAAACCCGTTCAGAAGATTTACAGTAATAGCGCTTAATAGCCCATAGATGCCCATCTCTTATATTCTCGTATAGCTATCATCTGGTAGTATGTGTTTCTTATTGTTTCTTCATGTTTCTTCCTAAGCTTGAGATATTGATTCCATAAGCTTGAGATAGCTTGAGCATGTCTGTGTAGCAACGCTCAAACGATGTCTTTTCAAAATCAATATCCTCAGGTAAAGTCTCTTCATAATCACCCCCCCTACTTGCAAAAGCCAGATTGAAAAGTTGCTTATCTAAACCATCTCTGATTCTACAGAATCCATGACCTCACCTTCCCCTCCAGACTCATATCAATTGTTTACAAAATTGCATCCTTGGCATACCCTAAACAAATCAAATGTTAGCTGTACAACATTTTTCCGCTGTACGCACCCAGGCCCCCCAATGAAAAATGCACCCATGGGGCCCATGGGGCCATGACCACCTCTCCAGCAGCATGAGACCAGCCTCTCCGCTTTGACGCGTCAGGCCAGGTGCAGAAGGCATCCTTTCAAACGGTCGACCACAAGACCCCAAAGCGTCAACGTCTTGAACCCAAGCCCTCTCTTCACATAGCACTCCCTGTGTAAGGTGGTCGAGGTTGAGAATGTTGAGAATGGATACACCTCTTGAACGACCAAACATTTGACTGCCTCCATAGCCCACCCATGCTTGCAACAAAGATTGCAGCCCCAAATGTGGCCCATGCCTCGCGATGCTGGAGGCTCATGACCTTCTGCAAAAGCTTCCTGCAAGGACTAGCATCAACAAGAGTCACCATAAGCGACCGCAGCGCACCGAAGCGCCCCCCGAGCGCCCGGCCAATTCACGGTGAGCCAGGACTTCGTGCCGTGGTGAAAGAGCAGGACGTGGCCCTTTCCTGGCGAATGCTGAGCGCAGCGCCCAAGCAGCGAACAGACATCTCTTGGGAGAAATGAAAAAAATACGCAATAAGTGTATTTCATCTATAATATCTATATTGAATCATGTATTTAAGCTATATGTACGTGCATATATATATATGTGATTCTATGTGTATGTATACATATATATATATATACAATAAACGTATATATTTGTTGTCCCAAGAGGCTCCAATACCCCTCCCCATAGATTGGTCTGAAAAACAAGGACAAAGGTCCCCAACGTCCTGCCATGTCCTGCCTCTTCGCCGCACGTAGGGCAATTGCCGACCACTGGTGGAAAGCACTCCTGGGAAAGTGGGCATGCACGAGTCGAAGAAGCTTCGGAATCTGTGGCGGTTGGCACGGTTGATCGAACAAAAACTCACTGGCTGGATGGCACATCGAACGAAAGTTGGCCGCGTGGTTGGCCGCGTTTGGTCATCGGTCCCATGTTGGCCAAGTCGTGGTAGCCGTTGGGCACGGGGCAGGTGCGCAGCAACAAGCTTGGAGCACCAGGCAGCTCTGGCAACTGCCACCTGAGTTGCTGGGTGCAGCAGGGACATCTGAAAAAAAAAACTGGGGTGAGGAAGAAATCCCTGAAGCAATGTCTAAGCATGCGAAATCTCACAAATTCAAGCCTCAGCTTAACCATTCATTTATCTCGCAAAACAAGCCCCTCTTGCCAAGGATCATCGTCAGGCCAAATATATCAAGTAGCAGCAAGAGGCTGCCATTCCTCAGCACGGGATCACGAATAAAATGATTCGAGCCGCTTCTAAGACGGAATTGGAATGAATTGGACAACATGACGCACGATGACACGAGACAGAAACTCAAGAAGGGTTGTAATCGGATGTAATCGGCAGATGTCAATCACAATGAAAATCAAGACTCTTAACAAGCTACTAGGGGCTCCTGACCTTACTACTAGGTGCAAGGATGCTACTAGGGGCTCCTGGCATCGCTACTAGCAGCAAGAAGCTACTAGTATCATTTCGAATCAAGACTCTTGGCCAATTGCAACTTCCCTGGACAGGCTTTCAGCACCAGGGGCGGTGAACGGAGCCGCCCGGACCTCGCGTGGTCTGTTGGGCGTGGCGCGCTGCGCGGTGGGCGCTGCGTGAGACCCGCACCAATCGAGGGTCCTCCGTCCTCCAGTCCGAAGAGGGGCTCGTCCAAAGTCATTCGATGGTCCTCAAAGATGGTCCTCCATGGTATCCTTCAAAGTTCTTCAAAGATGTGATCGAGTTCCTCCTTACCTCCTTTGGCTAAGTGGCTGGGATGCCAAGATGAGCAGTTGCCACCTTGTGCTCTGGACGGCACTTTCGACCACGAGCACCACCGAGGGTCCTCACTCAAACGAGGTGTGCCAAAGGTCTTCAAACATAAACATTTCCAGATGTAAGTCACAGCTGAGGAGTAAGGGGCAATGAGAAGAAAGAGTTGTGAAGGCACAGTTCCATAGAAAATCATTCCAGCTAGAAAGGAGAAGAACGTCCTATGTGCCTTGATGTGCCGCCTTTGTGCCTGTGCCTAGATGTCCCTAGAAGTCAGGTCCTTGGGTCCAAGTAAAAAGAGAGTGGAAGCGTGGAGCACTTCAGAACTCCTAGAGCCCCCCTTTTTGGTAAATCTTCTGTTGGGACTTGTCAGGGCTGAAGGGACGACTTCGGACCGACTCGCCGACCGACTCGCCAACCCACTCCGACCTTGGAGCTTTGCCAGGACCACCCGCTCCACCGAGATTTGCCACAGCCCGCCCTCCGACTTGGAAGAGACTCTGCACGAACCCGAGGTGGGCTCCTCAGCGGCATGCGGCAGCAAGAAGTAGTGATGTGATGATGACAGCCCTTCCTAGAAGTTGCAATGCAAGTGGAAGTCCCTCCGGCAAGTGGCAATTCTCAAGATGCGGCGATCGACACCGTCTGCAGGCATGTTGTCGTCCTCAGGGTCAGTATCACGGCCAGTGGCTCAGAAACCGAAAAATGGCTGGCTAAACACCCCTTTGGGTCCTCGATTGACCATGCGAATGTTGGTGGCGAAGGAGAACACGTCTTGGGCATCGTTCTTGAATGCCACGATTTCAAGAGCTTCTGCCGTTCACAGCAGCTGTTGACATCCAGGACCTTGTTTACAGATGGCCGTATACCACCGTGTCCAAGCTGTCCCAGTTGCCCTTCCTTCGAGGACCACTCCAGGCCTTCCAGGGAGCGTCGAAGCTCAGGATCTTCAACAAAGTATCTCGAGTTTGGACTCTGAGCCGAAAGACGTCCTAGCTCAGCTGGAACCTTTAGGCTGTGAGTGGTGGGCAAATCCCAGGAAGGTTGTGTGATGTGCAAATGTCTTTGTGATCGCCACCGAAGAACTTCATCCAACGTCCATGGAGTGAATCCGGGCAGGATTCGCTTCCAAGAGATGGAGATAGATCCCACTCCTCCACTTGAAGAATAGACTAAGGCTGATGCATCTGCAGTCCATGCGATGTCGGTGATAAAGCAGTTTTCATCAACGAGGTCCTTCAGAATCAAGATTGGAACTGGATGACTTGAGAGCCACAGGGAGAGCATGCCATCCATACAGCCGAGGGCCAAAACCACTGCCAGCTCCTCTGCGCCTTTGGCAACTTTGGCAAAGACTATGGGACAAAAGCGCACGACTGCCACATGCTTTTTGTGACCACGGTAGAGCTTGGGAGTCTTCCACGGCGCTGTGAAGAGCACCGAATAGAATCGGCATGTGCTCAAGGGGCTCTTCTTGTGCTCACCGAAGGGAAACACGACTGACTCCCCTAAGGGATCCCAACAAGGGCGTCGAAAGTTCACGGCACTCATCTGCCCGGGCTTCGCCCATGGCGCCTGGTTGATGGGCACCTCTTCCCATCCGCTGGCGCCTCCGGCTCCTCCGGCTCGACCTCGGTCGTTCTCCTCGGGGCTTTGGTAGAGCATGGCTGCTAGCTGCTTCCCGTCACTCATACAAGCGAGAAACTGGCCCAGCGGATCAAAGGCAACGCCTTTGATGTAACCACTTTCAGAGCTTTCAGGGCGCAGGATAGCTGTGAGCTCCACACGAGGCACACTCCAGAGTCGTACACTTCCATCGTGCGAGCAGGAGGCTAAGGTGAAATCCGGATGAAGCTTGGGGTGCCAGGACACCTCAGCTTCACCAAACTACTGAAGCTCGCAGTGGCGAGCTTAGCATGTGAAGTACCTGATACATGTCAAGCACCTTTCACTTGTATGAGAAGGTCGTGTGCTGATTCATCGCGCACTTAATGCGCACGTCGCCAAGACACATCACACACTTCGCCCTGATGCCCCCGCAGCAAGCAATGCCGGTGCCATGGCTCTGGAGCCTTGAGGTCCTGCACGATGCGACGTGACACAGCGACCCACCTTCGACCTGAAGGGTCCTTTTAGAGCGTTCTCGCCCCTCCCTATCCTCCCTATGTACATCTCCCCACCGCTCTCCTCCATATCCCTAGCCGCCCTGGCCATTTCACATCGTCTTGCCATCTCTACCTATCTCTACTCTTCTTTATCTTGCTCCGTCTTGTCTCTGAGTCTGCGCATAAGTCTCAGGTTCTCCTGCAACAAATGCAGGTTGCCCACACCCGGTGCCCATACCAGCAGCGCCGCCTGGTTCGACACTGTCACCAGTCTCCAAGCAGTGTGCTCTTCACAAGCAGTATATAACGCTCTTAAATGTATGTGTATAACTATAAGTCTTACTTGTGAAAGAGACTTACTTGACCTGCTGTAAGCTCACGCCTCAGCATCGCAGGACGCAATCATCCGGCCATCTGGAGCCCACCGGGCACAATTCACAGCCGCCTCGTGCTTCACCGTGCATAGCCATCTGGGGCTGACGGTATCACTTTGTGAAGGGCTTGGCAATGGCAAAGCCCAGATCTTTACGCATCCATCTTGACCGGCTGTGACCAATTTCCAAGTTGGCACCTCCTTCTGCTCCAGAGTCACCAAGGCGAAATCAACCTCGACGTCCCAACTGCGAAGGTATTTTCTTGTCTGTGCAAGCTTTGACCATCACGTGCGTTGGTTTTGGGGATGGTCTAGTGGGTCGACCAACCAAATGCTTAAATTGATGCAAGGATCCGAAAGGATGGCCCGAGAAGAACCCAAGCTCTGCAGCTTCTCCAGCCGCAGCTCGTAGCCATCGTAGCCATCGTGGCCGAACGATGGCTGTGGCTCCTCTGGCTCCTCTGGCTCCTCCTCTTCAATGAGCACCTTCCGAAACTATGGCTCAAATACCGGAATCCATAAATCTAAATTAAAGGTTATAGAGGGGGGCCCAGCTGTGCAGGGAATAAAACACTCGTGCCTGAACTGTCTGAGGCAACTTCTTCTCAGGGCTTGCACCTCTGGCTGCAACAATCCGAGGTTCCAAACAAGCCTTGAATAAGACGGTTCACACTGATAACTATGATAACCTGTCTCCCAGTCGTCCCCATTACACTATATAGATAGCATTCTCAGCTCTTCTTCTCATAGCATTGCATTCAGGACAGTGCATGCACTAAGAACCCAACCACTTCGTCTGCCTCGTCAGTTGCAGTCAACTCACATGCTCAATGCGTCTTGGCAAACACTGCCCTCAGCTGAAATGGCCAATGCGGCGTTCTGTGCCAAGGTGCGCTTGAGCAACGTCTCTCGCTGGAGACTCTCATCTTCAGCCATTGCATATGGCGAAGCGCCCGCTCAGTCGATATGGCTCGGCTCCATGTTTCAGAGTGGACAACCAACTTCATGAGGAAGTGACAATGGGTGACACAAAAAAAGAAGTCGTGCTGTGACTCCTGTGGATGTTTGTCAAGCATAGCTGGACGTCCTGTGCGTGGGTGATTGATATCTAATTTTGATTGTTCTTACTTAGCACTCCATGACACCCGCGTGGTGGTCGTCGTGTTGACCTTCGGCACAGTGTCTGTAAATTGATTGAAGTAGTAGTGCACAAAGGCTTCCAGAAGAAAGAGCAAGTCAATTTAGAAGCAAGAACCCTTTCAAGTGAACGCATGTCAAAGCTCAAAACTTGTCCACCTCTTCAATCCTCTTCACGGACAGGGATGCGCAATAGTGTAACAGTAAGGCAGTAAGGCGCAACGCATGGCCTGCGGCTTCCGCCTTCAAAGCCACCTCCTTTTGCAGCATCACCTGCCTGAGCAACGCAACGCCAACGAAGAAGCCGGTCAGCTGCAAGTAGCGAAGCAGTGCAAAGGGTGTCATGAACTTAGGCTGAACTTTGGGGCAAAATTGGGCCGGTGGGCCACGGATAAAACATACTCATGCGCATCGGCCTTCTGGCTTTGTGTCTGGGGCTCTGGCGTTTTCTCAAGGGTACTTAGCCGCGACTCATACCCCCATTCTTGTGCCTGGGTCAAACAGAGAGTCATGACGTGTAACAAGGCTTGTTGAGCTTGGTGCCATTGAGCCACTGAACAGAAGACAAACGAGACAAACACGGGCAAGGAATGAATTCGTGAATCAGCGAGTGACTTGAAAACAACTTGCCACTCTTTGCCCCTTTTGCCAGTGGCTTGGCATCTTTTGATTAAGATGGCATGACATCGGGATGCACGCAGCACGCCGGCAAAACGTCATAGGCAGATGCAAGTAAATGAGGTCCCAGCCAACTCCGACATCATTGGCTTGATCTCAGGATCAACTCCGCACAAGCCAAGCCGAGCCAAGTTGAGCCAACACGTTACCAGTCTGACGGTCTGATGGCTCTGTTCCCTTATCTCAGAAGTTGACCGCCGACATCAGCGCCTGCTGGTTCACCTCAGTGCGAAATCCAAGCCACGAAAAGGAAAAGGAGCTCGGAGCTCCCGCTGAGCCATGCACTGAGAAGTGGCAGTTCACCAAGTCGCTGGAATCCGCCATGTTGCTTCACCAAGACCACACGGAATTCATCAGAACATGCATGGAAAAAACGGAAAAGGGAAGCCCCGCTGAAGGAATCCTACGGGAAGCAGGTGAGCTTAGGAATTTCTGGTCAATTATAATGGCGTTTTTGATTCGGAATCGAAGCATCGGCCTTATTTCACTGCTTTTTGTGCAAACCTCCAGCGCTTGTTGAAGGAAGGATGCATTCGTTTGAAGGAAGTGGTTGCTCTCTCTGGGCCTGATGCTAGCCAGTCCAAACTCTAGAAGGCACCAAGTCAGCAAAGTTGGTCAGCCGGCAGCCACTGGGATGAACAGCTTGAAACTTCGGCCCTTTTAATGCCGCACGGTCACCGACCGAAGTGGCCAGGAAATCTTGTTCCGGGCGAAACCGTGGAAGATCCTTCGGATGTCCAAGATTTCACGCTGATCCAGGTGACACATCAGGTTTGGCCAAGTGAGGCACTAAAGAGGTAAACATCAAGCAGCGTTAAAGGAGCTCCGACGACCTAAGTCCAACGAGAACATGGAAGCCAAAAAGCTGTGAGAGCAAACACCACATCACCCAGCGGTTCCAACCACCTGCGGTTGTGCTCACAGGAACAAATCTGGACGCTCGTACCAAACCAATTTGTCTCATTGGAAAGCATGAACGAGATCGAACGAGCAAGCCCTCTGTGGAACAATGTCGTTCCAAGCAACTTCAAATCGTCAAAAAATCGTGAAAGACGCTTCTAGGAGCAAAGACGCTACTAGGGGCTCCTGGCCTTACTACTAGGAGCAAGAAGCTACTAGGAACAAGGGCATCGCTACTAGGAACAAGGGGACGCTACTAGGGGCATTTGTCAATTCTTTATATACTTCAGTTCCGGCCCTCTGACTGCGACACACAGATGTGCACCCTTCCACCTCCAAAAAGGCCGCCCAAGCTTGCGTTCGACGCTTTCCTGGGTGACCTTAGCAGTGGATGAAGAACGCAACACATGCGGTGAAATCCCATGCGGTGCAATGCACCTGCTCAATCTTTCACCATGCCAAGGATCCAAGTAATTAATGACTAGGTTGGAGGGCATCGCTCTTACGCTGGAGGCCATTAATTAATGACTCTTAGTTCCGGGCAATCGCAGTTGACCAAACCGCTTAGCACGATCCGTGACGTCCTGAACTGGACAAACCGACTCTTCACCAGTGCTTCAATGCTTCAAACCAAACCTAGGTCCGTCAGAACTCCCGCCTGGGCGTCCGACTCGGACAACAATGGCAGGTCCGTCAAGGGAATTCCGTCACAGTTTGCATCTTGAGACTCCGCCTTGGCAATGTAGAGCAGGCCTGCCAGCCAGCAGTTTTGCAGTTTTCCCCACAAGCAATGGAGAAAAAGGATGTTGTTTGCTACACTTTTGGCTTTTTACAGCATGTTCTAGCTGTTTCTTTAAGATGTTTCCAGTTTTCCCAAAAATCCGGTCAACCCACTGGGCCTATCGTTCGGATCAGCTGGAAGAGTGAACCGCCTGCTTTGGTGACCGCCAAGGCAAATTCCTGCGTAGGGATTACCTGAGGCAAGCCGCACGGGTTCATTCTCGAATCGGAATGTTCCGCTCCAACGTTCCGCCGGCACCACCATAAAGAACACGCATACAACAGAAGAAGACAATACAAAAGGCTCTAGGACTTCCCCTTTTTTCTTCTATATAACCTCTCTTCGTTGGGAGATAAGCCATAGCTGTCACTGCGCCAACTGCGCCATCACATGTTGGGAGTCAAAACATGCTTTCTTCCACCCCTTTTTGGAGACCAAGCGCCACGTAGTGCGAGACCTCCTCGGTATCCAGTTGGCCTCGATACTCCCACCTTGCCCAAAGGCTCAGCTCGCAAAGCCAGGTGCCCTGCACCGATGCTTGGGTCGCAAAGGCGAAACGTCTTCCGCGCAGAGGCGAAACGAAGCGCCGAGCAGAGGATCCATGAAATACTCTGCGCGTCTATTAGAATACTATTGACTGCAGGTTCACAGGTCAGGTAGCCGCCTGGGAGGTTTGAAACCAAGTGTTGTTGGAACCTGGTTGTCACATGGTGATGCAGAAGACCAACCTGACTGTCAGGACTTACCTGTAGAATCTCGCTCCAAGTGGTCTGGATATAGCAAAACATGGTGCAAGTGGTGACAGGGGGGCTTGCGTGCTTTCCTTAATTCCCTTTAGCCTGTTTCCACGTTGGTGGGGCATGAGGACTGCGCAACTACACACGAAACTCGTACGACACATTCGTTCAATATATATATATATATATATAAGTGTAAAACTAGCATGGCTATACGAAAGGAGCTCTTTCTTTCTTTCTTTCTTTCTTTCTTCCTTTCTTTCTTTCTTTCTTTCTCTCTCTCTCTCTCTCTCTGCCGATCCCTTCAGGGTCCTCCTCCACCCTGACATAGTCTTTCAGACGAGAGCTCCAATAGATGAGGGACTGGCGAGGAACCGCCGTGGGAATCCTGAAAACAGCAATGGACGCTTCCTTGGAGAAGGTGAATGTGTTCAAATCCCAATATGTGCAGACAAGAGGCACCACCTCTGGGCATTCCCCACGTTCCAAGAAAATCTCCTGCATGGGCGATGCCACCTTCTCCAGCAATACTTTGTCACAAAGCCTTAGCCCGAGCAAGGCAAGATCCGCTAAGAAAACTCCGCAGAGGTTTCATAGCCCAAGCACTTCAGCATGAGCTCCTCATCGATCTCTGTCACATCCGATGGCATCCAGTTCGCTGAAACCAGAATCGGCATATAGATCCTCAATGTGGCTATGACGATACAGATGGATGCACCACCCTCCCCCAGCTAGCAATGCATAAGGGAGGTCGAAACCTTGGAACCACGATGAAACTGTCTCGGAAAAAAAGCTAGCCGCAAGCCGAAGCTCCTACAGCAGCCTCCCAGACCGAAGACGGTCCTCTTTGGAAGTCCTTCCAACACGCTCTCAGCATATTCAATCCGACCAAGGGTCTCTGCATGGAGCTTCACCCGCAAGCCATGAGGCAAATCTTGGAGCATGGGGATATCCTTGGTGTGCAAAGGACTAAGTAAGTAAGGCAGTAAGGGATGTTCTTGCGTCACTATGCTTCACTATGCTTAGCTATGTTTCACTTGATCGTACTGATTGTCGCGGGCATTTAGCATCGAACTGTGTCTGCGGAGGGGCAATTTGAGCCAAGCAGCCCCTTCTTTCAGTGACATTTTGTCCAGAAGGATCCGCAAGCGGCAGAATTTTTGCACTCGACACCACACATCCACAGAGACCGATTTCTGCGTTAAGAATGACTTCATTCGGCTTTCCTGCTTGAAGTGCTCAGTATGGATTTGCCGGAGCTGGTTGACCTTAGCCATGGAAACTTGAATGGGTCGGTCTGGTGACCCTCTTGAAGTAGAAGTGAAACAAGGCAAGAGCCAATTGGCTAGGCCAAAGAGTTTGAGTAGGGGGTGGCTGGGACAACTGCAAGGGTCAGTTGTCCCATGGCTATGTTTGCATAGGCTGTGGTGGGCGGATATCGCTCTGGGTGTGTTCGGACGTCTGAAGGCCTGGCAGGTCAAGGGTTGCCTTTGACAGAACTGGCACTTGGCCACTTCCCCCACCCACGAAAGAAATGCAGCACCAGTTGCAGTGTTGGTCACCCCACTCACCTCGGCCAGTGCGCTGCCGGAAGCGGCTCAGAGCCGAAGCGGCTCTTTCCCCAAGCGGCAAAGGATGAGAAGACAGCCAGGCCGATGAGCACCACAAAAATCGCGTAGATCCGCTCAGGGGCCGTGTTGGGCGCAATGTTGTTCGTGGCCGGCATGAACTGCGTCAGAGACCTCGGTTTAGACGGCGGTCGGTTTAGACAGTTGTCTCATGCAACCCACCATGCAACCAAGCGTCCAGTGCAAAGCCGAGAAGTACTGTGTCAAGAAATCCATATGCTGTAGCTCAGCCTTAACGTAAAAACTCTTCAATCTGCAAAGCCTTCCGTAGCTGTTCAGTCTGCAATCGAGAAACGATTTCAATCCATGTGAGTTCGCCTTCCGCAGCGAACCTGAGCAGCAGAAAAGCATAGCAGTACCCATCCTTACAGCCTCCCCATATCTCCAATCCTGCCGAAGGCCGCCGAACCAGTATTGCTATGGCGTCTGCATGAAATCTGGGCTCAGCAGCAGTGCCAGCCCAAGGAAGGCGCAGGACATGTAGTGATTCAAGGCCAGGACGGCCGCAAGGCTTCCTCATCAAATCAACTAACGGGTCTGGAAGAAGCTTGCAGTGCAGCAGAGCTATCGAGCTATGGATTAACAAACACATCTGAACACGGCACTACACCATCCACATTCCCATGTCCTCGATCTCCCCAAATATGTAGATGGCGCAGCCGCCACACTGACACCATGTGTTGGTGCTGCGATTGTGACCGTGAAACTTCGAGGGGGTCCGTGTGTAGGAGGCTTTTCAGAGGATGTGTCTTGCCAGGATTCGAAGAATATTCATGGTGAGAAGGAAGCTGTCTGTTTTGAAGCGATCAAGGATTTCGGCCTGGGCGGCAGAACGAAGCACTCAAGGTGCTGCCAGGCGTGCGCCAGGACACCGCCAGGTTCGCCATCTTGTGCAGGCGAAGAAGTCGCAAGAACCGCATCAAGCGCAAGGCCTCCGGGCGGACCGCATCCAAGTTCAAGCTATTTTTTCCCGGGGGGGTTAGGCGGACGCAGGATAGCGAAAACGCTTCTTCAAGGAAGCTCCCCCTGAGGGCGGGGAAGATCTTCCTTGAAGAAGCGCTCGCACTAATGATTTGGTTCCTAGATTGTTCGGGAAACCTGACCTTGTGAGTGGAACTTTGATTTCAGGTCAGAGGAAAGTTGCACCGAGTGAGGTACAAAAACCCTCCGATTATATACATCTGGCCAACTATATACAGTAATTCACCGAGGTTTTTTCGCACAAGTTGTCTCGCCCAGGTGCGCGAGCCAGGCGAAAGGAGCCCATGGAATCATTGCTGCCGCTCTCGCTTTCAGTGTTGAAGCTCAGCACCACGAAGATCATCACGTCTAAGACCAGTACCTAACAATACCACATGAGAACAGCAAAAGATTTGGCTGAGCAAACATGTGAATGTGCTTGTGCAGCTTAAGCATGGCGAATGGTTCAATTGCTCAAGTTCTTCTATGATCCTCGATCAAAAGCCTCTTGCTTGGCCGCTTGGTCCATGGGAGTTTGCCCCGAGAAGCTTGCGGCCAAAGCACGGTAACATCCAGCCCAAGCCAGCCTTACAGGAATAGATTTTGCAACTCAAATCTTACACTTTCGGATGTGTGTCGCAAACCCCGTGGCCTTGCAGGAAAGTTTTTTTTGGGGGATTAGTAGGTGGACATCTGTTCCTGGCCTTTGGCATAATTCCGCGCAATCTCGTGGATCCGCATTTCTAATATTCCCGCACGATCGAAGCCAGTGATGAAGGTCGCTGGCACATCCAGCACCCAGTAGACAAAAAATGGCCACAGACACCACCTCGCAACAAGAGCAAGAAAAATGTTACCGGCCTCATCAATCTGGGTCCCGTCACAACCATCGCGGCCGCTTTGCCACTGAGGTGCGTTGATGAGGTTGTCGACCTCCGCGTTGATGTCGAACATCTGCAAAGGAATGAAAATCAGATCCCAACCTGGCAACTTTCAGCGCTGAAAGTCTAGAGGGTGCAAGCATGGTCAAACAATATCAAGCACCCAAAGAAAGTGCAGCCAAGGAACAAATCGCCTGGGGCAAAGTCTGAGAACAAGATTTCTATGGTAGATAAGTAGATAAGGGTAGGTGGTTGAACCCATCTATCTCCGAGCTGTCCATCTATTCCAAGAAAACATCGATGGACTCAACTCCATAGCTACAATCAACTCCATATAATCGACTTCACCAACAACCTCACGCCCGTTCCGAGCTACTAAAAGCCCAAAGAATGTCCATGCCAATCGGGCGTTTCCGTGTGGAGTCAGCGTGATCTTCCGAAAGAGCCACCGCTTATCCTTAGATTTGGTGAGCTGTGCGGAGGGAAACAGGCACAATTGTCGCTGCAGCCTGATGGTTTGAAGCAATGCTAGGGAAACGGAACCGGTCACGTCACATCCATGGAGAGGACTCAGCTGACTGCTGTCACGAGTCAAGCATGGTGTCGCCCAGGGTCAAGGACGGGCGGCGCTTGAACCTTGAATCTCCAAGCCAACCAACTTACTTCAACTGATATACCAGCCCAGAATTTTGTCAAGACTGGCAGTTGCAAGCATTTGACCCGGATCACTATTGTTTGAGCAGTTCTGTCCGGAATAGTTTGAGGCATGTAGCATCGGTCGAGATAGCCCCTTCTGAAGCGCCTTGAATGAAAACTTTGCAGTCCATGGCTCCAAGATTGTCAGCCTCGGTCTCGTATCATCAAAGAGGATAACAAACAGTGCGGAGTTCAGCAGGCGCAAGGATTCAGGCTCCCATGAACGGATGGTTGCAAGCCAATCTGAATTTGTCACTTCAGATATCCAGTGACAAGCATCACACCATTGACTACACATCATTGACTAGTCTCTTTTTAAAACGATACCAACTGTTCTGCTTCAATTACTTTGGGCATTCCAAGGCCTTAAAGAAAGCAGGACATGCCCTGTGCCAAACTGCTAAACAAAGAAAAATGCCATTGGTCTCTTAGCCACTGCGAGGGCTCTGCTACAGGTGGGCGCCGAGATTTGGAGCGCAGGTGCATATAGAGGTCATACCACCGGTCAACAGGTCCAGGCGACAACCTGAGATCTCCCGGCTCCCGGCTCGGGTCAATCGTCCCATGTCGGGCTCACAGAGGTGCACCGAATCTGAAGGACACGCACTGAGGGGTCGCTACTTGGTAGTGGCCACAGTTGATTGACAAGTCCCAATTGTTCAATTGAGACAGGACAGGCATGTAGGAGGAAAGAATGGAAGAACGTGTAGTCGTCTTTTCTCAGAGCGAGGGGCGTTTCTTCCATAAACTTCCCAGGAGCGGAGTCCATCCTTGGCAACCAGCTCAAATAGCTCAAGCATCCGATTTCTCAACACTTGGTTGGAGGCCATCACTCGTGGGTTGGAGGCCATTGCTAGGTGCTTTATGGAGGCCATCGCTATTACTGAGAAGTCTTTATTCTCTTCACCGCTACTAGGAGCAAGGACGCTACTAGGGGCTGGCTCCTGGCCATACTACTAGGGGCAAGGAAGCTACTAGGGGCTCCTGGCGTCGCTACTAGTAGCAAGGACGCTACTAGGAACAAGTGCATCGCTTCTAGTAACAAGTGCCTTACTAGTAGTAACAAGAAGCTACTAGGGGCTCCTGGCCGTACTACTAGCAGCAAGGACGCTACTAGCCCATGAACTTCCTTTTTCTGCTCACCGAGTCCTCGAGTTCCTCCCTGACTCCTGGGGAATGTCACCGAGAGAGGGAGCTTCCGGTGTGGCAGTTCACTTCCCCCCCAATGAAAGGGATCACGGTTAATACCAGGCAGCGGGTGCATCAGCATTCAGCATGCAAACTAAGTAGCTACACCTTTTTTCAGCTGTTGATCACCAACTGCGCTTGGCGACAAAATCATCAGTTCTTGTGGACCCCGTTGAAGCAGCTCTTCTTCTTCCTCTACACCTCAGAGGCTGGCAAGCACAAGGACCCCTTAGTGAGAACCAGAAGTGCCATGGAGACAGGGACGAGAGAGGGCCATGAACATCCATACTAGGAACAAGAAGCTACTAGGGGCTCCTGGCATCGCTACTAGGAGCAAGGACGCTACTAGGGGCTCCTGGCCTTACTACTAGGAACAAGAAGCTAGTAACAGGTTATCAATGGACGTTCTCAGACCAGGCACTCAGCCGCTCGCGCGGCACACGCTGCTCGCGAGTCTCCCGGAGCTCATGGATCATGGGCGTCTCGCAGCATCCGCCCTAGCGAGGAGACGCGGACGTTTCGGGACGGAAACTCGGCCCCGAACTAGGCTCCTTTTGAAAAGGTTTTCCTACTGTTGGTGTTAAAGGGGATTTGAGGGGGATAGTTGGGATAGTTAAGTAAGGCGGTCTCGTGAACAGCATGGAGATATCAAAATACCATTTTCTAAGGTGGTTTGCTCCAGATTTCTCTGATATAGTTTTCAGTTTTACCTTCTGCCCTCCCAATCAACACTCTGCCCCTGTCGCTTGGCCCATCGACTTAGGTTTTTCCGGCGCACCTGGACACGAAGTTGAAGATCCTCCAGTACACTCCCATGCGCCGCAAGGACAGCGGACTTCAGCCTTGGCGACCGGACACAGACGCCGGAGACGCCGCTCCGGCGGGTCGACCCGTTGTGACGTTTGGTGCCGAAGGACCCGTCGAGCTGATCGGTCAGGATCTCTTCAAAGGACTGGCGCCCTGCAGAGTCAAAGCTTGGACAAGAAGCCAATGCCGATAGAAACACATCTTTCAGAACGTTCTTTCTTCGCAGAATCTCTGCTTTCACTGAATCTTTCGCAAGAACTTCAACACCGTCTTGCTAGCCTTGGACAAGGCTCATGTTCCTCACTACTACGGCCAAACCGAGAGAGAGGAAGCTCACGGGCCGGCGGTGTGGAATGAAAATCCGCAAAGCAGCATGACTGTAATGTCATCTTCCAGAAAATGCTGAGAAAGCCGCCAAGTCTTTTCGTTAAAAGCATCTCAAAAGTCAGGCTACTCTAAAATGATGTAAACCTAAATGCTCAAGTGTTGTCTCCTACGTTCAGGCTGCACAACATCCGTCACTGATGCATTCGGGCAGTCTGTCTGCACATCTGTGCTGGAGCCGCTGCACGAACCTCGACTGAACCATCATCTAAAAAACCCATGACATATTAGAGGCCATCACCATTGCTAGTAGGTTGGGGGCCATGGCTAGTAGGTTGGAGGCCATTGCTATTGGAGGCGATGTCCCGAAATAACTTGCCGCCATTCCAGTACCCATTCCATGTCCCATTCAGTTGAGTCTCGAATCATCGCACCCTTCGGCACTCCGCTTTGTGGTACTTCCACTCCTCTTTCTGACAAACATCTGAGCAGTAGAAGCGCATTTTGCAAGCGCCGCACCGTAGCTCGTCTGCATAGTCGCCACAAAAGCCGCCTGGTCCACTGAGTGGAAAGACATGGTGAGTCCCACAAAGAAAATGAAATAAAGGAAGGAGAAAAGAAATGTCGAGAGAAGAAAATAAATTAAATCTATATACAGGCCACCTTAGTAGTGATAATTACGGAACAATCCTGTAATTATCTCTTGGCCTCAGCCTATCTTGAGGCCCTGCAAGCAACCTCCATCTACTACCAATGAAGCCGGGCTAACAAATGCATCCATGGTGCAGATTCTGGGGCCTCGTGTCAAACTCAAAAGGCAACAGCAAGCTTCGCTGCTTCGCTCATGCTCTGCGTTTGGCCATTGATGTTTTCTCCCTTGGAGGGAAGCCCTTGAGGGCCGTACAGGAGATGCATGCATGCGCATGAGCACCCCAGAGTGAATCGTGCCAATACGGACACCGCTCATCTGGTCCATTGACGGCTGCAGCACAACCTCAGCATCAAGCGCCAGGGTCGACGCGCAGGGGAAGCCGAAGGGGAACCAATTAAAAGGCAGCTCAGCATCAAACCACCGAAGCAGTAGTAGTAGCAGCCGATCCTGAGATAAGAATTCAATTCATTGAACATCAACTTAAATATAACTTAATCATACTTAATCAACTTATACATGAGAAACGGCGAACGGTTTCAAATCTGTTGATGCTTCTAGGACTGTATAATATATATATATATCAAAAACGACTAGCAGCGGTTCAGTTCTCAGATCCCATGAGATCCCAAAGGACTCCTGTGCAACCGAGTCACGCTTCGGGCTCCCCATTGCCTTCGAACCTTGGATCCGATCACCGCTGGCACCGCTGGTCCATCTGATCATCTGGATCCAACCATCCAGTAACGTATAATGGCGGTTTTGTTCGACTTTTGTTGGCATTCAGTAACTTTGCCCATCCCACCATAGATATCGTACCATCATGTACCATCCATTCTTTCTGCTTGCTTCAGTGTGATTTGCGGCCTTCCAAGGCACATCCGCGTCAGCACTCGATCCCACTCATGGGTCGCATCGTGCCACCAGCGGGCAATGGGCTCTCCCGGCGTCACTGCTTCATCGTCAAGCTCGGTATAGGCACAAGGCGGAAGAGTTCGGTTCAGCTCATCTGCCCCTGAACAAAGCTCCCTGCCACAAGAGACTGCAGGAAAGCTCCAGTTATCTCGTAACGTATCATGTTCCTGATCATTGATCTCAACAAATCTGACTTGGCAGTGTGAGGCCGAGCCTGCACATGAGGAGAGCAAATCTGGATCGAGATTGCATCTTGGGAGAGCCCGACTGCAAACATTGGCACATCCTTCGATACTCGAGGCGTGGCACGGTTTCGCCCCACCTCAGAGCTTGAGCGAAACCGAAAGTCTCACAGTGTAGGTGTCCGTTTGTCTCACTCATCTGAGCTGCTTGTAGAGCCCTTCCAGTGGTGCACATGAGTGGAAGTCCGCAAAATTGAGAACTGCACCTGGGCGGCACACAGAACCAACGAGGACCGGCACGCAGTGACATGATGGACGCATGACACGCTCCGCCCTCCCCTGAGCTGTCTCGCTCCAGAAGAGCTGAAACTCCCCGACAAGGTGAAGGACTCCGCCCCGCAGCATCTTGAAGTCATCAATCGGATACATCGTCATAGCATGAAGCTCCTCGATTGAGTTACCACGGAGGTGGCGCTAGTAGTTAATGTCTTCTCCGAAAGGTCGGCAGTTCTGAACCCCGACGACATTGCTACCACGGAGCCATGGCCAAGCTGGCGGGGTCGTAGTACTCACAGGTCACTGTTCCTGAACAAGGACTGGCGGCCAAAAGGGCCCCAAAACGGCCCACGCGCGTGCACGCATGCAGCTAAAAACAAAAGGAAAGCCCCTCTCTCCGTTTCAGTCTCCCGGAAGTGCCTGCACGACCTTTGTTGCTCTCTTGCTCCTGCTCTTCCTGTGTGACGTTCTCCTGCGGTGCTACGCAATGGGCAATGGGTGAGGCGATTGAAATCCAAAAAACCTTTCTATTCGATGGCAACAAAGAAAATAAAGCCCAAGTTTGGGAGTTCAGAATCCTCCAGTGGGTCCCACCACCGCACACGCAGCTCTGTGCGAGGGGGAAGGTCCACAGCCCTTACTGGCCGGTGCTGCCTTGCAAAGCCCAGAACCTAGAGACATGGAGACATATGTCACAGGGAAGAAGGGGCAGTTGGGTGAACCCAGTTGGGCAAAGGATCTCAAGTAGAGACAGGAACGAGAAAGGTCAGAGTTGGAGCTTGCCGGTGGCATCTGTTTCTCGAAGACAAGCCGCGAGCTTCACCACTTTGGTGGGCATCTTCAACTTCTTCAAGAGACCTTGGCATGCAGCTGCGGTAGGGTAGTTACAACCCCCCTTCCTCCGTTCAAATTGCCTGTCGCCTAGTAGTCAGCCTTCGGGGATTCATTGGAGTTCTTGCTAAAGCTGCGACGCCAACAGCTGGAACCCCTGTTTCCTTCAAGCCACATAGAAGCCAGGAGCGGCGTTGTGGCCATTCGCACTGCAAACCTTTGACAGCTTTTTCACAGTTGGACACAGGCAGCGGGAGGACGTCCAAAAACCTAATAGCGATGGCCTCCAACCTAGAATCTAGAAGCTATGGCCGCGATGGCCTCCAACCTGCTAGCGATGGCCTCCAACCTAATAGCCATTGGCAATGGGGAAAAAAGGCAGGACGTCCAAACGCATTGACTTAGACGGCTCATGACGCCTCATGACGGCTCACTGCAAGCTGAGGAGCACAAGGGACTTGTTGGGCAGCGCATGGACTTGAAAGGCATCAGATTGCCACGTCGGGCAGCTTCCAGGTCGCGGATGCTCGCAAGGGGTGTATCCGATTGGTGTAAAGGTCTCCATTCCTCAGGTCCAGCCAGCCTTTCCGAATCTCCAAAACGGCAAAAAGAAAACCTGGTTTGGGATAGGCCTGCAAATTCTCTTTTTCAAACCTTCCCTAGACTCTAATGACTCTAATGCAACTTCGCCACCACTGTATAGGATCTGGAAACAGCTGCACGGATGACACCCAGGCTTGCATCGTTGCTTTCCCGCTGGACCTTCTGTAGTTCCGGCTTCTTCTCAAAGTTTCCTTGCACAAACACGTGCTCGCAGGTGAATCTACGCAGTGACTCACTGTCCACGCAAAGTCAAAGATGTCTGCCAACACGGAACCAAAAGAATCAAAGCATCTCAAATGGTAGGTAGATCACATACAAAAAGGCTGGAAGATAGGTACAGATAGGTACCTTCAGAATTGAGTTCTATTAAATCTACACTTTCATCATTTTCCCAGCACTTCCCAGCGGCCACTCATCGACCTCTCCATGGCTTTGAGGGCGTCAAATCGCATCTCATAATCAGCAACGTTCATCGGAAGAACACTGCAGCCCGCACTAAAGTCACTAAAGCAACGCGCAAAGGCTCAAAGGCCGCATGTTCACTTAACTGCGCACATGTCATGATGTTCATGTCGGTTCATGTTGATTCTAGTCCGTGGCTTTCCTACCGAATAGGGGATGTCTATCGAAATCTCTGTCTCGATCACTTGTCTTATGCCCTTTTATATTTCTGAATCTGGCCGGTGAGTTGATGGGGTGATTGCGCTGTGATGATTCTTCATCTGCCCCTCCACAATTCATGAGGCTTCATGAGCCGGCCTTTTTTTTCCGCGGGAGAAGACCACAAACATGCGCGTCAAGCGTGCTTTGCTGCGACAAACATGTCTTCAAATGAAATGACAAAACGTGGTCGTTTAGTACGACTGCGCGTTTGGTGCGACCCTTCGCGGCATTTTCGTTTGGATCAGCCCAGGCTTCTGAGACATCAGCCCAGGCTTCGGACAGAAGCCCTGGCGGCACTGCTAGTGATTGCTGTTCTTCTTCACTTTTAGATGGATCCCTTCAATAGAGCATCTAGAAAGACTCTCGGCATGACAAATTCTCAAAGCCGTCAATATCAAGGCCACCCGTCAACAGCTCGAATGCTTGGCTCCTCCAGTTTACTTCGCATTTATCTCGGTTCCATGTGGTCCAGGTGACAGGCTGTCCAGGCTTCCTCCGTCCGATCGATGTGCACTTGTGGCGGCTTGTCTCTCCTTTTTGTCGGTCTGTGTCGGTCGTGGCGGTCTTTAGGCAAACAACGTGCTCTTTGCATTGCGCTCCTGGGCCACGGTGTCGTCGGAGATAATACGGTTGAGCAAGATTCGAACGGCATCTTCGCTGGAATCATCCAAACCAATGACAAAGCGATGGGAGATCTTTGCCAAGGCCTTCTGCTTGCGTTTGACCTCCTCATCGGAGATCGCACTCAAGATTGTTGCAATCGAAGTGGCATTCGGGAAGAGGCTCCGCAGTTGCTTCTCTCGTTGTTCCAAGCTCCTCTTGGGTCTTAACGCTTCAAATACCTCCGCATATTTGGGGTAGAGTTTCTGGAAGTGCTTCCATTGATGGGAAGAGTCATGAAAAGTGCCTGTGCCCCACAAGGAGATTCGTCCATCACCCATAACTTCAGCTTCTGGTACGTAGACCACTGCATCTGCAAACTCTTCTGCCGTGGCAAAAGCTTCGAACATGTCCAATTCCTGATGAAGAAACACCACCGGAATGCAGCCCAGCACAATGGAGTCGATAAGACTCTTTCGTGTGATGCTATCACCAGGCGGTTCCACACAAAAGGTTGATTGCAGTTTCTTCGCGGAGAGTCGTGCATAGTCCATCATGCTGGCCTTCTGTGGTGCCCCAGTCACTTCCTGGATTTGAGTGACTTTGCCACACCTCAGCATCTGTGAAACAAAAATATTGGTCCATATCCACGTCGCTCAAACCACACCAACACCCCTTCTTATCTATGCCTATATATATATTCTTAATAGCAGATACATTGCAAGTGCATGTGAGAGTATTGCCTTGCCAAACTTAGTTGTGCCGTTGGTTCCTCAATTTTCCAGCCTGTTGCATATGGTGCACTCCTTCATGATGGCTTGACGCAAGAAGCCGGCTTGTCCACGACCCGTTCCACTGAAGGACCATAAGTAACGGTCAATACCTCCAAGTTTCACCCGGAGCTTGGCAGGAGTGGACTCGGCATGACCATGGTAGACGGCAGGATAGGGAAATTGATACCAAATGAAAGGCTTGTTGTAGGTCCAGCCCTCTGGGCCGTCCTGCGCGCAAGCGCCAAGCAACGCTTCCTTCTTGGCCTTCCCGACCTTTCTTGCGAATGCTCTTTGTGAGCTGGGGGGGTGTAGACTGCTAAGAGGTGGTAGCTTACAAGTAAGCTAAGACAAGCCAAGCAAATACCTTGGGATGGCTACTCAACTTAAATAGCTGCAGTAGCTACTACCGATCGAACACAGAGGGGCTCAGGCTTCCTCAAGGCGGGGAAGGCTTCCTTGAAGAAGCCTGAGCCTCAATGAGGTGGTTCCTAGTAGCTTCTTGTTACTAGTAGTATGGCCAGGAGTTACTAGTAGCTTCTTGCTCCTAGTAGCGGTGCCCTTGTTACTAGTAGCTTCTTGCTCCTAGTAGTAAGGCCAGGAGCCCCTAGTAGCGTCCTTGCTCCTAGTAGCGGTGCCCTTTGTTAGTAGCTTCTTGTTCCTATGATCTTTTTGGGATGCTGAACTTATTGTTATTAGGTTGGAGGCCATAGCAGTCCGTTGGGAAACTGAACTATACACATATAGATCCTCCAGCAATCCGTTGAGCTCAATGTTGATGCGGTGTGCCAAACGGAAAGGCATGTGCAGCTCCCACATGTAATTGCATGTCTCCCATCCTGGCAAACTGGGACACATTCTCTCCGAACATCATCCTATAGCCGCATACCCCCCGTGAAATGCACACAGTAATTGTGGTAAGGGGATTGTGGATTCCAATGCTTCCCGCCTGTGACGCGGGGGGAGAAATTGGTTGATTCGTTTCGCCCCGATCCTCGTGCATCCATCAGTAGATGTCGAGGGACTTTGGCCTTTGCCCATTGCTCCTCCTCGCGCAGGGACTTGAATGGCATGATGTCTTCATTCAAGACCTGAAAAATGAAGACTGAACTGACATACAGTGTCTTCTATCTCATTTCCGTAGCAGTGTCTTTGCAATGGATACAGGTCCTTCAGTCGAGGATTTAGCTCGGCCAGTGTGTCAAAGAGGTCACTGCTATTGGCACAGGGAAGGTCATGGGATGGCTTGAAGTTGTAAGCTGGGATGATAAAAACATCCGCATCATCCACCTCCCGAGTACGCTGAGCATAATTCAGGAAGCGGTAGTGCAGCATCAAGGGCATGTGGAACCTGAGCATGCCCCAAGCCCTTCGCTACGAACGGAGCGATCGGACGCTACGAACGGGGGCTCCTGGCATCGCTACGAACGGAGCGATCGGACTTGACATCGGCGTTCGACTCGTGTTTTCGAAGCTCGGCACCAAGCAACTGGCTAGAGCCCCAGATCTCCACGCCTTGCACCTTCACTGGTGGCCCACCAAAAACACAGTCAGCGCTCCAACACTCTGGTCCATGTCCCCAGTTCTGAAAGCGGGGAGGTAGATCGTAGAGGTAGACCTTGGGACCCACCTGAGATGGCACCGAGGAGTCCGAGTTGACTCGATCCAGCCTTCACCTTGAACAAGAGTCCAGAGTCCACAGACGTCGAAGCCGCAACAGCGTTGTTGCTTCCTGCTAGTTGCTTCTTGTTATATACTAGTAGCAAGAATGCTCCTAGTAGTCTCGCCAGGAGCCTCTAGTAGCGTCCTTGCTCCTAGTAGCGATGCCCGTTCCTAGTAGGCTTCTTGTTCCTATAATCCAATACCTTTCAAGACAAAGCCCCCAGCCTTGCCATCGTGAGCTGGCTGCAACTCAGGCAAGTCCACAGGGGATGGCAAATCCGCGTGATTCGAGGAGTTTGCTCTGCAAAAAGGCGGCCCGGAAAATGCCAGTTCATGCCCTGAGTGGAGCAGCCAAATGATGGAGAAAGGACTTCAGTCGACTCATTTCATGCCCTGAGTCTCAAATGATAAACTTTCCAGGAGCCCTGATTTGTTTGGAGGAATGACTTCGTTTGAGCGTCCTGCCCCATGGATTCCACATCTTGCCACGCTACCGAATGGGGACGAATCCGTGGACTGCACATGGCAGGACCCATCCTTCCAGAAGGTGAAAAAAGCACAGCCCTCCAAGCACTGGCAACGCTCTTGACATTCTCCAGGACTTTCCACCTGTCAAAGACGAATGGGGATCCGGGATATACCTAGACCCTCCCGAGGCAATAATTTTTGACGTAGGCTGTTGAGGCAATAATTTTTGCCGTAACTCATTTTTTCTGCCGTAGCTCAATCCCTGGAAAGTGAAAACGCCGTCAGAGAAGTGAAAACGCCGTCACAAAAGAAGAATCGCCGTTTTGTTTGATCTACCAAAGAGGATATTGTTTTGGTCCGTCCATACCCTGAAATTGCCTTCTCCTTTTTCACTTGTAAGTAGAGCTCATCGTTTTCAAGCCTAGCACTTCTCAAGATGTTGCAGCCCTTGTCTAAGGTCTCGATTGACATCATGGCAGGAATTGTTCACATTTTGATCATGCAATGGCTGAAAGGATCGCTTGTGACATGTTGTGACAAGTCTTGCTGCCACCTTGAGTGACCCTAGACAGGGTAAGGGAACGACGCCGTAAGTAGGGGGAAAACGCCGTAAGTACGGGGAAAAACGCCGTAAGTACGGGGAAAAACGCCGCAAGTACGGGTAAGAACGCCGTAACTTTAAACGCAAAATCTTCTGCAACGCCGTGCAAGAGGTCGAGTTACCCGCAAAAACCGACGAAAACCCAGCATGTGACACTTCCATCAGCTGCCCTTTCCACTTCACATGATTATGCGAGTTTGCTGATATAATAAGACGCCTTTTACGTTCAGTTGCCTTTCAAGCAAGACCCTACAATGTTTTCATACTCGCTTGCACTAAAACTAAAACGAAATGACTCTTTGAGGCGCATGGATGTGTGGACCAAAATTGCCGTCAACTGACCGAAACTGCCGCAGTTCATCAAGAAACGCCGTCCCCATGAGATCAATATGGAAGAACGCCGCAGAACGGAAAAAGGCGACGTTTCATGAAAACGGCAATTATTATTGCCGTAACGAAGTTCCAGGTATATATATATAACACTAGATTATCTTATATCACTATATGCAAAACTGCTCTCAGACCTGTGAAAACCGAGTGCCCAAAACGAATGACTTGACAAGGGGGCACCTACCAACTTCTCTAAAAGACCCGTCAAACCTGTCTTTTTCTCAACGACACCCCTCCTTGCTGGGCTCATCGATATCTGCACCACTGCGGCCTTGCCCTTTTCGGATGCAGCGCTCCTCCGCGCGCGCCTCGGTGCGGGCATGGAACGCTCAAAGGACATGGAAGGCGACCTCTAAACACTTTGTACAATTGATTTCACATCACCTGATAGTTGGTATCAACATGTCTAGTCTAGCAAGGTTCATAAGATTTCAGTACTATCACCGCTCGGTCGAGGTGCTCGAGACACTGAAGTCGCCGGCTTTGGAGTCGCTCTGGGCGATTTGGAGGAAAGGCGCGCAGGGGTGAATTGGGTTGATGATGCTGTCATCTTTGACACCTTTGGCACTGATGTCCCTGTTTCATTCAGCACGCGCTTGGACTCCTTCTGCGTGATGGACGCGATGGTCCTAAGGTCCTCGGAGCACCGCCAGAGGGAAAGAAAAATAAGGGAAAGTCAGCGCAGCACAAAGGTAAGTTCACAGAAGTACAGTACACGGCGCAAATCTTACCAGTTTCTTGCTTCACAGGATGTCACGTCTCCTCAAACAGCCCCTAAACACTCCAAAGGGAGCATCAATTGTCATTCACATTACTGACAGCTCATTCCGTCAACAAAGTCAACCGAGTGGCAGCCGCAGCAGTGAGCTCTGGGGCTGACCTGCATCTCATAACACGATCTCCAAATCGCATGACATCATGACCCCAAATCGCACGAAGAAGGAATGAGCCCCAAAAGAGTAACAATCGAAATGCCACAAGGAAACATCCCACGCCTGACCGCGCCTCTATGTTGTGGCCACGTCTCGGCGATGCGCTGATTGGGCGGTGGGTTTTTCAATCACTTGGGTGACCGTCCCTCAAAATGGCTTGCGTTGGGCCATTCGGCGGCCCTTCTTGTTTGGGTTCATCAAATCCGAATGGAATCCGAGTTGCCAGGTACAGGCCGAGCAAAGCTCCACCAAGGTAAGGCAGCTGGCGGAAGCTCCATCTGCCAAAAGCCATAGCTGGACCAAGGCATCAAGTCGATGTGCATGCCTAGCCGGCGAACTATGCAAGACATTCTGCGAGTTTTGCATAGTAAAGTGTCTCCCAAAAGACTGGTTGCATGGAGTAGCTGCAGCTCTTTGTACTTTGGGCCGAAACTTGTTGCAACCAGGCAGACCTAATCCCCATTCGATTCCACCTCATGCAGCATCACTCCTTTTCGAAGGCCAGCACACGTGGCCTGCTCGTTAGCACATCAGAAGACGAGGATATCCAAATGCCTTGGAGTGCTTCAAAGAGATTCCGTGTTTTTCGGCTGTGCCATGGTGTGCCGTAATTATAGCTTATGGCTGGGAGCACTGCCCAGTCCAGGTGACATGTTGGTGTTTATTGCTTTTCCAAAACCGCCTTACTTACATACACGGCAAGATTTTTTTCAACGAAGCCCCTCCTGCCACTCAGGGTGGCAATGGCTTCCTTGAAAAACTGCCAGTGCACTTCAAAGACCCTGAAAGTGCTGGAACAATCATTGGAACACGTAGAAATGACTCTGATGACAAAGTGGCTCCTTCATCAAAGTGGCTCCTCGGCTAGCGCCTAGGCCTGGAGGTGAAGCAGGGAATCCACCAATCAAATAAATGAACATGTTGATGGCGTTTCATTGGAGAACAAACAGACCGAAAACAGTAGGGCACCAAGCCCAAGTCTTGCGAAACATGGAAGCCGCATCAATTGTGAGGAAAATCTGCGCACTCCGTCGAATGGCGAGCAGCATTATTTTCCCTTGGATTGCCACGTTTCGGCGTGCCCCCAGAGAATTGAACGAAAGTCTGCCACTTTCACCAGCTCTGCTGATTGCATCATGACTGGTATGCGCAAACTGGATGCACAAACTGTCAAAAGTTTTTGTGGCGACTGTCTTAGGCCAACTTGTGGAGATCAGTGCCAGGGCCCCTCACGGGCAATCATAGGAGAAAAAACATATGTTACAAAACAACAATACATACGTATAAATATATATACACGTAACAAACATCTTTGCTCTCAGGATTCGATCTACCTTCAAAGTGCCAGACTAGACTTCGACGACTGCCCACGAACCCCCCCGGCTGTCCATTCGATTCGGTGAAACGTCTCTACGTCGCAGAGGTGCCCCTCGCAACATTGATTGGCACGGGACGAGGTGCCGAACAAAAAAGGCCTGGTAAGTATATACTACTAGCTTCTTGTTACTACTAGTAAGGCCAGGAGCCCCTAGTAAGGCACTTGTTTCTAGTAGCTTCTTGTTACTACTAGTAAGGCACTTGTTACTAGTAGCGATGCACTAGTAGCTTATTGTATATACGAGTATATGCTCTGTCATGTATCTGACAGCTGTGTCTAAATGGTCTAATGTCACTCGCGGCTCGCGCTTGTTCACGGACGGATGCTCTTCTGACCATGCACCAGCAGTTCCTCGAGCAGGTCCTGGCGACTGGTCTTAGCACTCGAGAGAGGGAGCAGAAAAGCGTTTCGTGAGTCAACTCTACCCAATTTGAGTTCGACAACTCTCTCATCCCCAAGAGTCCTTCTTAAAGATATCATCCGTCAGCTTCTTCCACTCATCTGCATCCAGTGTCAGAACCCTGGCAAGGTATCACATGACAGGACTTGCATCTGCTTGCAGATGCGCAAACAATGGATCATTGTATAGTCACCATACAGAATGATCAAAGCGCACTAGAGGTGGATGTGCACCAAATGTGTTCTTTGAGTTTCGCACTCTTCTTGAGAATAACATCCAACACACCAGTTTTGAGTCTGTCAAACCCTAGATTGATGCCGTGGCCTCTACCTCGATTCTACTACTAACTAATGACACCAACTCAACAGCTTGCTTCAGGATGGTCACAGAATCAATTACCACCCCATCAAACTACTGAAATGACCACCACAAACGCCCTACAGACGCTTACTCCACAGATTAAGCATCAAAAAAGCACCACCTTCACCCGCATGACACATACCGCCTCCACCCTCGACGCCAAATGAGCCGCTGCCGCAGCTTGGATTCAGCGCGGATCAGCCGCTGCCGCTGGGCGTTATTCGGGTTCATAGCAGGGGTGACGTAGTAGTCTTCGTACTCGTCCATCACCTTCAAAGACGACACCGTGAGGACATGCAAAATTACGGCACGGTCCCTGTGTCACTCTAGCTTAAACATATCATAAGACCATAGGACCAAGAAGACTTCGCCTGCAGGACGGTTTTCCCCACCACCAGATGGAGAGTCAGAACACCATCCGGAAAGCAGCCAGTCACTGCAACATCCATCTCCTGCTGAAGAACACGCAGGATGTCCTCCTCCACCGGGGAGAGTGGGTCAGGCTCCATGTTGTCCAGGGCCTCTGTTGGACAAAGGTCCCACTGTCGGGCGACCGACGATTTGAACTGTTTCAACCGGCTACGAACGGAGCAATGTTCGCTACTAGGGGCTCCTGGCATCGCTACTAGGAGCAAGGACGCTACTAGGGGCTCCTGGCCTTACTACTAGGAGCAAGAAGCTACTAGTTGTAGTGTCCTGACGTTGTGCCAACACAGCACCAAAAGGGCCTAATCGGTTCAGCGAAAGTAGGCACCGACGCTTCCTCGCCTCACTCTCTTGCCTCAAGTTCTGCAACCAAATTTGCACCTGTGCCGGGAGAGTCGTCGGATGGTAGTCCAAGCGAAGACAATCCTCAAGGAGGCGGAGCTGCTTCAGGACCTCCGGCTGCGTCATGCGCACCGGAAGGCCGAGATTCAGCTCGGCACAGCGGGAGAGGTAGGCCACCCGAGCCTCATCGGTGAAGAGGGTCATCACGGTCAATGGAGCCACGGCGCTCAATTGGTCTTTGCTGAGGTCTCGAAAGAAGGGAGCCATCTCACGCAACATGGCATTCACTAAGCGGGGATTCCGAAGGTCCAGCCGGGCGTGGGCATTCATAACCTCCAGGTACATGTCGAGCACAAAGTCATCTGAGAGCCTGAAAAGGGCTTCATTGCCCATCAAGGACATCAGTGTCTGGTCTCGGATGCCAGCTCTCGCCAGCCAATGAAACACTTGGCACAAGCGCGTGGAGGAAGCCGTCTTGATTTCGCGGGCCAGCTCGGCTGCGATGCGATTCAGCAAGTCTGCCCCACGGTACTTGGCCATCACGAATGCCTTGAGCACTCTGAGAATGCGATCGATGGGCATCGTGATCAACAGCTCCTCCGCACGCTTGGCATATTGCCCCCCAAAGCTCGGGCTCCACTTCTCCCGTCAAGCAGGACCCCTCGATGGTTTCGAGGAACTCATTTTCGAGTTTCTGAGTGATATCTGGAACTGGTTGTGGTGGTGCTCTGGCCGCTGCCGCATCATAGAACTCATCAGATGGATGACCTGGTGGTGCAAAGCCACGTTCTAAGGCTGCTGCTCTAAGTGGCTGCTCCAATGCGGTATGCACTGGACCAAGGGATGCAGGCATGGGCCGTGCCCGCGTGTCACGCACAGTGAGCTCCAACTTGGAATCCGGTGGAGCGATGCTGATGTGCGTCGCCATGTAATGCACATCATGCCGAAAGGCGTCGGTCTGTGGCTTCTCAATCACATCCTCCCGAAGCTCCTCTTCGCCTGGCGCGGTCTTCGCGCAGAAGCTTTGGAACTCGGTCTCCTCACGAACATGACGGAACTTGGAAAAATGGATTGGAATCCTTAAGTGACATAGGTTTCAATAGCATCTCCATTCCCATTTGCCCTAGGTGTGGAGCCAGACTGGATACCATCTGAAGCCAGTCCTCTCCAGCTCTAAGTTTAGCCCGTTCGCTGGCTGAGACGCGCGGGTAAATGCGGCGTGCACTCGGTGAAGGTAACTTGGTCACCGCTGCCATTGCATTTGAGCCACTAGTGGCAGGTGTGACAGGTGGCGTCATGGACTTGAACATGGCGTCATGTCTAGGCAAAGGCATATGCCGAATTTGGGAGATGAAGGAACACAAGTGGCAGCTAGATGGACATAAAATGGTGCCTGAAGCCACACAAGGAATGGATATGATATCTATATATATATAATTGATATCTCTGCCAAAGCAAATGCACTGTTGTTCGCCTCTTCGCGCCCATTTTCAGGTAGCGGAGGCGGTGGACGCCAGACTAGCTCCTTTCTGGACAGCTGCCGAACAGAGCGCTGCGTCTCAAAGTTGTAGTAGTACCGGAGGCCTCAATTGTCAGCATCCAGTGTCAACCTTGAAACTTAAGACCGAAACACGCATGAAAGTAGTTGGCCGAAAGAACCTGAGAACAAAGTCCAAGAGACCCTGGCCATCGTGAAAGGGATGCCACTGCACATGAACGATCTGCTGGCTCTGCACACTCTCAGACTTCATCTTGAAGCCTGGAATAGGTGCCCCACAGCGGGAGCTAACAAAATGCACTACGCAGTGACGCAGTCTCTAGAACTTTCATCTCCGGTTCTCTTTGCATTCACGCCTGCCATGGACAGTTCCAAGCGGGGATGTTCTGACCGGCGGCCCTTGGCATGCAACCGCTCGAAGCAGCTCCGGCAAAAGAGGCCTGGCCAGAACCGCCACACCTCCCCGATTCCAGCATCATGTGATCTGGTCGGGAGATGCAAAAAAAAAACACAATACCCTCCAACCTAGTAGCGGTGGCCTCCAACCCAATAGCCATGGCCTCCAACCTACTAGCGATGGCCTCCAACCTACTAGCGATGGCCTCTGACCTAATAGCGATGGCCTCCAACTTACTAGCGATGGCCTCCAACCTAATACCCATGGCCTCCAACCTACTAGCGATGGCCTCCGACCTAATAGCGATGGCCTCCGACCTAATAGCCATGGCCTCCAACCTGCTAGCAATGGCCTCCAACCTAATAGCCATGGCCTCCAACCTACTAGCGATGGCCTCCGGCCTAATAGCGATGGCCTCCGACCTAATAGCCATGGCCTCCAACCTACTAGCGATGGCCTCCAACCTAATAGCCATGGCCTCCAACC